CATCTTTGGGTGTGGCTATATTTAAATTCCTAAAGTTTATGCACATCCTTAATTTACCATTCTTTTTTAGCACTGGCATGATATTGGACAACCATTCGATATATCTGGCTGTTCTAATAAAGCCTGCTTTTTATAATCGCTCTATTTCTTTCTTAATTTTAGGGAGTATATTAGGAGCAAAACGCCTAGGAGGTTGTTTATGAGGTTTAAAGTTTGGCTTGGTTGGTAATCTATGTCCACCAAACCTCTATCTAAACCAGGCATATGTTCATATTCCCAAGCAAAACAATCCTTATATTCCTTTAATAAAGCGATTAATTTATCACTAACCTCTTGATCGAGCATCTGGTGGACGAAGGTTGGGCGATCTTCCCCTTCATTGCCAATATTCACTTTAATCAGAGGGTCTTGTACTTGAGCGTATCTAGGCTTGGTGATCCCCATTACTTCATCGTCCAATTCCCTTATAGGCACTTCTTCTTCTAAACAATCCACATTGTTGACTTCTCAACCAATATTTTGTTCCAACTCGAACACTGCCAATTTGTCTCTCAATGCTTCCAAGGCTGCTTCTTCTTTTGTCTTGTCCTTACATTCTTTATTGAAAGCCATTAATTTGGCTTTGAAGACCTGAACATCGGCCATTTGCCTTTATTGCTTACAACTCATTTAAAACTCCTTGATTACTCTTTTGCCAATTAATGGCTCTTCTAGGGCCATTATGTTTGACCTCATCTGACTGAACATTTCAGTGAGCGCATCCACCAAAAACGGCTCTTCACTCTGCGCGACAATTTGAGTTTCTTCTCCATCTCGGACTACTCTGACAGGTCCATAATGTCCTTCGTACATGAACCTTTCTACTGAGTTTGCTTCTGCAACAAAAGGTCTATGATCGGCATGCACCACTTCTGCTTTGCCTTTGTCATTCCAAAAAACTAGGACAGATTATGGTCCTAATAGTTGTTCCTATAGTTATGTCCAATGGCATAATCCCTTTAGCTAAAGTTGTTCCTCCATTGAAACTCGTAAGGATGACTTCTGTTGGGATTATATCACCTTCCGTCTTTACAAATTTCCTCATCATCCTAGATGGAATGGTGTTTATAGCTGCTCCATTATCGACAAGCACTTTTGCCACAGGTATGCCGTTAACTAGAGTTTTAACGTACAATGACCTCAAGTGTTTAGTTAACTTCATGGCTGGTCGCTTAAAAATAACCTTTTTGGCAGCATCTATTTCCACTTCCTGCTTGTCCTCTGTCGAGTTATCCTTTTGTGATGAGTCAACGTGCAGCATGTCGCACTGAACTTCCATTTTCTGAATTTCCTTTTTACTGTTTTCTAATACTTCTTCTTCAGTTACCCAACCTGTGGGAGGAGGCATTATTCTTGAAGGTGATCCATACTTTTCAGAGCGAGGAACTCTCTTTTTCCTTTTTGGTGTCCCGTACAGCACGTAATAATCGAAAGAACGCCCAGACGGTTCCTCCAACAAGTCCACTTCACGACCCCCTCTCGATGTAGTTACTTCAACAGAGTATTGTACGATACTCCTCTTTTTCTTCTTTCTGCTTCCAAATCAATTTCCTCTTCGATATCCGTCATACCATCATCTCCTTCATCATCGTAGGCCCCTTTAGAAGTTTGGCCTTCTTCATATTCCTGCACGCATGCTTCTTCTTCGTTATCCTCCATCTCTTCTTCTTCTTTCTCTTTATTCTTGAACTCATTGGCTAGCAAATAGTTATTAGTCATGACAGGAGGTAACGTACCAAACTGAATAGTAAGGGACCGATCTGGGTCTTCTCCATCTCTTCTGTCTCGCTCAAACTTCGCCTCCTAGAAGAACTTTCTAGCAATTCTTTCATCGATTCAGCTGTACTAGTCTTCTCACTGTCTTCGAGAATATTTTGATTGGCCACCTCGAGTAGCTTAGGCGCCTTAGGACGTGACATTTCCTATTGTTGCCTCATCATTCGTCCATAGTTCCGTTGAAAACGTTTTTGTTGGGTTCTAGTCATCTCATTGAAGGGTATCGCCCTTCCTGCATTATACTGGAACGAATGTCATACATTTGGTTGGCGAGGCTACGGCCTGAATGTTTTCCCATTATTCACTGGACTGAACTACCTCTCAAAAGGCAGTCCCCTATAGAACGATGCACCTCGCCCTCTACCAGGCTGAGCGTTTGGGAAAAAACTAGGGTGATGGTGATGCTGCCATATCCTTGGTTTCTCTGTATTCCCACTCGCTTTTCTTTTACATCTTGCATACAGGACGTCTTCATCCTTTACAGGCTCTTTCCCTTTGATACGTTCAAAAACACTGGGATGTGGTCCAGGGTCCTCTTCCCCGTCATCTATAACTAACTTGAATTTTGGCAACTTGTTCCTGAAACCAGTCGTCACCATGTTCACCCCAAGTGGTTTGGAAAAGGGTTTTCGTCCACTGCCATCTTCCTCTTATTCTCGAACGTAATTCGTCCTGATTCAATGGCATCCTATAACACATGGCGAAAAACCAAACAGTTATTAGTCAAATGTGACCATGTATTATGCCACTTACAATATTTTTTACCCTTAACTTGTTCAGGGCTTGGCAATTTATGTTTATCGCTCAACTTTATCTGCTTATCCTTATATAGTTTATCAAATATAAGGTCAGTTTTGGTTACATCGAACGAGAACGTTTCTAGCCTTTTTGTTTTCATCTTTTATAGGCTCATCCTTGCCCGACGGTCTAGGCTTAGCCATTATATGACAAGTATACTCGTCTCCTTTGATTAATTCGGCCAAACACATTTCGGGTTGATCGTAATACTCGTCATTAATGGTATGAACATCAAGATTTGGGTCTCTATAATAAGTCCCCTTGTTAGAATTTTTCATTTGCTCTTCTTCTCTTATTAATCGTTCATACCTAATCACGTTCGCGCTCAATTGGAAAAGATCAGGAAATTCCTTGCCATGGAACTTCTTTTTCAAATCAAAGTTTAGACAACTTTGAGCGATTTTGACAAACTCCTTTTTGGGCAAAGGTATAAAACATTTACTTCTTGCTATTTTGAACCTTTGAAGGAAACATTCTTTCCATTCGTTTGGCATTTGACGTAGATTCGCCAAATCGGTCAAAGTAACTTTGGACTCAGTCTTATAAAACTGAGCATGGAATAATTGCTCCAATTGTTGTCATGTTTGAACAGAGTTTGCTGACAAATTGATGAACCAGGAGAAAGCTAATCCTGTTAATGAATTAGGGAACAGCCTCATTTTATGGTAATCAGTTACGTCACAACTTTGCAGTGTGAATCGTCCTATGTATTCTAGAATAGACACCTCTCCTAAACCGGCAAATAATGAGAATTCTGGCCATGTTGTCATAATGTACATTCCCATTTTGGGTAAATCTTTTCATATTATGAATATTTCATAGATTTACCTGTTCAACGACATCCTGTGTGAGTTCTCCAAGTAATGCACGCATGATTCGAGGACTCAACTCTGTCAGTGGTTCGTAATGACTGTAACTATTTTGACTCTGTCCATCTGTTCGTGGAGAGCAATGTTGCTCCTCATATCACTCGATCACAGATTTGACTCCTCCCTGACTTGCTTCCTTATCAGATTTCTGAGGCATATTGTTTCACTTTTTGTATCTTCAACACCAAACACTAAGGTCCCACTGGGCGTGCCAAATTGTTTCGCGCAGGTAGTCGCTAACAATTAAAAAGAAAATCAGACGATTGTGTGAGGAATAAACCTCTTGAGACAAAGTCCCAAAATGAGTGTTTTATTGGCAATGACTTTACAATTGGAACTAAACAGAATGCCTCCAAGGGGAGCAAGTACACGAGTACTGAAAAGAAATGTTTAAATTTAAACTAAGAAATTGAAATTACATATTCTCTGTTTGAAAGTGTTTGATTCAGGTCTGCTTGCTCTATGTCTTCTCTTCCTTTTATATTCCCTTGATAATTTCTTCGTGATCAACCGCTTAGAAATTGCTTGATTGCTTTATAACTACCCACTTTTTTTACAGTGGCTAACTTGTTGTGGAACTGCCGTCTCTAATTGCTGCCACTACTCTTTGTCGTTCAACCGTCTTCAACTGAACTCCTTGAATCGTGGAACGTGATAAGGATACTCAATAACTGCACTTCTGGATAACGATAACATCTTATATTTGCTAATATCCTGGGCGATTCGAAGGTTTGGGCGAGAACAGGGTCATAGCTCTGGGCGACTGTAAGGCACTTCATTCGCTTAGATCTTGGGTGTCTTGCAAGCTTGGGCGATGATATTATTGTGTTCGTGGGCTTCCACTGCATTCATTAATAACCCTATCTGGGCCTTTATCCTGAATTGCCCAGTTGGACTTCATTCTTTGGACTATTTGATTTGGGAATTCCTCAATTGGGTTTCATTCCTTGGGCTATTCGATTTGGACTGCACTTTTAGTGTGTCAACAATTTTGTTTGGCTTTAAGTTTCTACATCCATATGATCTACTAAAGTAGATCGGTATTGACCATATAATAAAAGCAGATCTTGGTCCATGGAGTCCCAAGAAGGTAAGAACTCCAACCTGACTGATGCTTCTTCGGCCCAAAAATCATAAGAACAATACAATTCTTAATTGTTTAGGAGTTTGGTACACGATTATGTCAAAACAGTCTCTTGCAAATTAACATCAAAACTACCAATTTAATATTGGTTTGTATTTGATCCCACCGTTTCTCAGTTAGTTGCATGCATTAAATTGGCTTCAATATTTTATCAACAACTTGAATGAATGATGAATACTATCTGAAATTTATTCATTTGAAATTAAATGATGTGATGATTGAAACCACTTTATATTTATATCTGCCCACAATGCATGTTCACTGTTGACTTCAATATAATTTTAAGTGATTATTTTATATTAAAAAAATTATTTAATTTCAGAATTTCTGTCCATTGTAACAGCAGAATTTAATTGAATTTGAAACTGCTTTTAAGGTAAAAACCAGAGAATGGCAAATAGTCTCTCCATTCCTTTGATCCTTATTATATCTCAGTTGTACCTTCAAATATGGTTCCTCAAGATTGATGCGAAAGTTACATCAATTATAGTGTTTGGAGATTCCACAGTAGATTCCGGGAACAATAATTATCTTCCGACGATTCTGAAAAGTAATTTCATGCCTTATGGTCGTGATTTTGACGGTGGGAAGCCCACCGGAAGGTTTTCCAATGGCCGGATTCCAACAGATTTCATATCTGAGGCCTTTGGACTCAAAGAAACTGTCCCTGCTTATTCAGATCCAGCTTATAATATATCAGATTTTGCTACAGGCGTCTGCTTTGCTTCGGCTGGGACTGGTTATGATAATCTTACATCTCGAGTGCTTGTAAGTATCTCGTGCATTTCGATTTTAGCATCCTATCTCTCACTTCTCCACCCTTCACTTCACTGTATTTGGCTACATGAACCTCGCCACCCTCTCTATTTTCGACTTTTTTAACCATTGTATGTTGCATGTTTTATGAATAACGAAGATAAACAAAGTACATACATACTCGGGCCTGTGTAGGATAGTTTCTGCTTCTACTTCAGTTTTTTTTACAGAGAGTGTTTCTCTAAAAGCTCAAAATTATATAAACAAGCTCAAAAGTCATGCCAAATAGACCTCACTTGAACTTTATTCCTTGTTTGGGCTCCATATTAATGAGATTTTGGAAAAAATATATTTTAGAATAACAATTCTTTGGAAAACATATTTTTAAAAAATAAGAAAAAAATTTAGATTTACATGTAATATTATTTTATTGAAAAACGTGTCATCGAAAATGAAGAAAGGTAAAAAAGTGTTAAATAAAAATAGAGCTCAAACAGGGACTTAGCTATAAGAAACACTATTATGATGTTGATGTTAAATAGGAGCCCGCGTTAAGATCACCATCATAAAAGAGAGAAGCTGGATAAGATAGAGTGTGGTAATGTAGTCTAAAGTTAACGTCAATCTCTATAAATTATATAAATTGTGAGTGTCATTATTTCTTTCTCCAAATCGATTATTATCAATGGAATAGACTTGGAGTTTCGAATTCTCCACAATTGCATAAAGCACGGTATTGATACTTATGTACAATTTGAATTTCAGAATGTAATGCCTCTTTGGAAGGAATTAGAAAAATACAAGGAATATCGAAAGCGGCTAAAAGGCTATCTAGGCACCAACAAGGCAGAAGAGATCTTAACACATGCTCTATACATTATCAGTATGGGAACAAACGACTTCTTAGAGAACTACTATTTGCTTCCACACAGGCAATTACAGTATACCGTGGAAGAATACCAGAATTTCTTAACAGGCATTGCAAGAACTTTCATCAAACAAATATATAAACTTGGAGCCCGGAAAATATCATTAACTGGGCTTCCTCCAATGGGATGTTTGCCACTGGAGAGAACAACAAATTTCTTATTTGGAAGAGATTGCATACAAAAGTACAACAATGTGGCTAAGGACTTCAATAACAAGTTACAAGCATTAGTTTCGACGCTTAGCAAGGAGCTTTATAAACTTCAATTGGTGTTCTCCAACCCATACGATATTCTTTACGAGATTATTCAGAAGCCTGAATCATTCGGTAAGTTTTGAACTTTTAAGTTACAAGTAAACAGGCCTATAAGTTGCTTATATGAATTTGAACATGTATTACAGGATTCGAGAACGAGGCATTTGCATGTTGTGGGACAGGAGAGTTTGAGATGAGTTATTTGTGTATTGAACTCAATCCATTTACATGTAGAGATGCAAATAAGTATGTATTTTGGGATTCATTTCACCCTACTGAGAAAACAAATGCCATAATGGCGAATTACGCGGTCAAAACTACTCTATCTGTGTTTCAATAGAGATTTGAATTATTTGCAGTATTTACTTAATTAAATATTATATTTGTCCAATTGTGCTCTATTTATTAATAGAGTGGAATTTAAAGTATTGAATTGTTGATAACAGTGAATTCTTAGTTAAAGACCTTGTAAAGGCTTAGAGCAACCACATATATGAACGTAAATATTTTAATGGCTCTGCTCATATATTTATCTGCCTGGCTCAGACATTAAACAGGTAAACCTTTAAACACAACCATAACAGGAACATAAATCCTTACAATCAGGGATGAACTCCAAAACCCCCAAAAAGTAAAATGACCAAAAATAATGAAGAATAATTCTAGAAACTTCTACCACCAAATATATTGGCACAACCTCAAGTAGGAGTATCCCATGTCAGTCATCGGTTAAACTCCATAAACAACACATTTGCCCTCCAAAACAATTGGAATATTTTGCTCACAAGGCCCAGCTGAGTATACACGTCCTATATGTCAAACATTTAATCAATAACAAACTTTAGGTGCATCCAAAACATAAGTAATATGATATGTATAATGAGAGGATGAACAGCAAAGGGTAGATATAAACCTTAATGAAGTTTTGATTATCATTCTGGCTTCTTTGGAAAATGCAGCTTGATGAGCATGGGAAGCTCAACAAGTTCGACCTGAGACTTGCCCAACAAAATGCGCTTCAACTTTTCATCACAGTTGACAATGTTCTTATTGTTTAGATCCTAGAAATATAAAAGATACGTGATGGTCAGGACAATAGCGCGTTCATGATATTACTAAATCATCTGAAAAGAACCACCACGGCCCCAACTCACTGCTCCCATTTCCTCGAAAAGAAATTACAGATAAACGATGGTATGCATCCTTACTTCTGTTTCTTAAAAATACATGCAGCATGCAACAAGTTAAGAGGAAAAGTTACTCAATTTTGTCTCAAGAATTTTCTACCATTCTGCTGGTATCCAGGCTGGGGAATGTTTGTTAGCTTTAATAAAATAACTTCAATGACACAATATATAAATTTAAGCTTCTTCGGGAAGCATCATATTGCAAAGTTGCTTTTCTGCCAATAACTGGCAGGTAACATGACTGCCCATCTCTTTCTAGAACCTTGTATAAATTACTTATCATAATGTTTATAATTCCATGATTCATTGCAAATTTCTGTCAACAGTATTCACATAAGTTATATGTGCTTAGAGCCAGAATGACAGTCAACCACAGCATGCATGAAGGTGTATAGTAATTCAATTTCCCTTCAATGAAATATCTTTGTTTACTCAAAAATGTTAATGAGCAATGTCTTGTGCAATTATGCACGTCGCTTCAAATATTTCCCAACAGACACCATCAAATTGATAGAAGAAATACTCTACTTTATAGCACAAAATCACGAATTTTACACCAGTGTGACTGTGTGAGCTCAACATTGTAACAACTGTCTTCAGTTCCACATCCCCAAGTAAAACTTCCGTGTGGACTTATAAGCACATTAAGCAGCCCCCTTTACAAGTCAGTTTCAAGAGTGAGTTTTACCAAAAGTGACAGTAACATTCTATCAAATTAGTCATTCACTTGTTGGGCACGGGGAGACCTCAGGGAAGGTTAATTTTGTGTTCCATGAATTAGAAAACTACAAGGAATACCTAAGACAACTAAAAGGCCATTTAGGCACTACCAAGACAGAAGAGATCTTAACATATGCTCTATACGTTATCAGTATGGGAACAAACAACTTCTTAGAGAACTATTACTTGCTTCCACGCAGGCAATTACAGTATACCTTCGAAAAATACCAGAATTTCTTAAAAGGCATTGCAAGATCTTTCATCAAACAAATATATAAACTAGGAGCCAAGGAAATATCATTGACCGGGCTTCCTCCAATGGGGGAATATTAAAAAATAAAAGAATTTTATTCAGTAAAAAGTTCATTTATGATTGATCCATGTTAGGCACGAAGAGCAGTTATTTCATATACTTGGAGGAGGATAGGGTCTGGAATTTAACCTGGAGATTGTTTTCCTTGATATATAACCAAACACGCCTAAAACAACCCAACCGAGAGCTCTGCGACTGACCCATGAACTCTCTTAGTGTTGAAGGGAGATTCACTAGGTCAATCAAATTGGCAAGTTTCTTAGGGTTGTCCATGACAGCCTTTTTCATCTTCTGTGATATCATTTGTCCCAATCTTCTTTTTGGTAGCTGCAAACACAAAAATACAATAACAGTCTCATATAAATCATACAAAAAATAAAAGAATCCAATTTCGATATTTTTACAACAGTCAAATATCAAGAAGCCAGTAAATTCAAATTTAAGGACCTGAAATAAACTCGAGCAATCCAAAATGTGAGATGGCGGAATCGTAATTCTGAGAGTAATTTAATCAAACACCTTGACTGCGGTGAATAAACTTGAGAGAATCTCCTAACTCAAACCTGAAACCTGGACTACTGGAAAGTGCCGACTCAGTGCAGACATAGAATTTGAAAGTACGCTAATGAATCCCACCTTCAACTAAAAGCAAAAGCTACCGAGAATTTATGGCGATTTTTGGTATATTTGTGAGCTAAAGCCACTGTCCCAAGAATAACTCTATTTGTGAACTGCAACTTACCATTGAGGGGAAAATTAAACCTGTGTCCCAGCCTTTACAAGGCAGAGCATTTAGGTTCAAACTTTTAAAAAGAAACGGCTGAGTACCCCCTTTTACCTAGGAAAAACTAGCCAATCGTCATCATATTCCAATAAGACAAAATTTATGTACAAATGGAAATCCTGTGAGCAGATTAAAGCAAATATCCATCAAGAAACACAACTCTTTGGCATAAAAAAGTGATCTATGTAGGGGTAGCAAATGGGCCGAGCGAGCGAGCCACCCCCCTTTTACCTAGGAAAAACTAGCCAATAGTCATCATAGTCCAATAAGACAAAATTTAGCCCCCGTTTGGCCCCCATTAAATTATATTACATTACATTCCATTTCTCTCTCTCCTATTTTTAACCACACAATCTTCTATAAAATAATATTACACGTAAATCGAAAACTTTTCCTTCTTTTTCAACTACTCATTTTTCAAAAAAATACTATTCTACCCATTTTCATTTTCCAAAAATGGGGGCCAAACGGGGGCTTATGTACAAATGGAAATCCTGTGAGCAGATTAAAGCAAATATCCATCAAGAAACACAACACTTTGGCATAAAAAAGTGATCTATGTAGGGGTAGCAAATGGGCCTAGCGGCTCGTTAGCTCGCTCGCTGGCTTGCAAAAACGGAGCTCGTGGACGGCTCGAACTCGTAAAAACACGAGTCCGAGCACGAGTCGAGCGGGCCGGTTCGATGGACAAGCCGAGCCCGCTTGACTCGTTTGGTTAGCACAAAAAACGAGCCACGAGCTGGCTCCAAACGAGCCCACGAGCCCAAGCTCGTGTTAAATGTGACCGTTTCGGTCACTTTATTGGCCGTTTTAGCCCCCCATTTTTTTTCTTTTTTTTTACCGTTAACGGTCACTGAATTTTTTCAGTAACCGTTTTGGTCCTTATATATATATATATTAATTATCTTTCTCTCAACTTTCTTGTATTGTGTTGATAACTTGCAATTTTTATATACAATATCCAATTCTCATTTCTCAGTTCTCACTATATTTATTGAAATTTCATCCAATTTTCATTCCTCACTACATTTATACAATTATTCTTCTACTAGTTATTACTTATTACAACTAAACAAATTGATCCACACTCATTTGTCGAAAACTTGTTCGGTGTGGGAGGAAACGAATCGTCTATGACACCGCAAAGTCAATTTCAGAATCAATTTGAAGGTCTAAATGACATACCCCTACCTGAAAATATTCCAGATTTGGATCTTCATCATCATAAAAGCGACAATCCAAATTATCCAATTAATTTGGATGATGTTGACGTTCCCGAAACGGAACACGATCAGGAAGAAGAGGTTGAATTAAACATTCCTGATGCGAGGGGAAAGCGAAAGGGGAAAAAACAAGCAAAATGTTGAGATCACTTTAAGTTAATTTCAACGGAAAAAATCGTCAATGGAATCCAAGAATCCAAAGCAGTATATAAATACTGCCAACAAAGATTGGCAGGCAAAGAGAAATTGGTACCACCCATCTCAACCGTCATTACAAAGTATGTGCGGTCAAACACGGACTTATTCCAGGCTGTCAAACACAATTGCAATTTGGCAGTCCAGACGCCGGTGGTTCTACTGCACCCCTATCCACATGGGTGTATTCGGAGGAGAAAGTTCGAACTGGAATGGTGAAACTTGTTGCTGGTACTGAGTTGCCTTTGACATTAATTGACAACCAACACTACGTCTTGTATGTGAAAGAATATCTGCAACTAAGGTACGTTGGGGTAAGTCGAAACACTCTTCGTTCCGATACAATACAATATTTTACTTCAACAAAACAACAATTAATTATGGATTTGCAAAAATATGGAGGTGTCATATCTTTAACTTCAGATATCTGGGAATGGATTAATAAAAGAGCATATATAGTTGCAACTGCACATTATATAGACCCATTTTGGTGCATGCATAAAAAAATTATTACTTTTAGAATTATTGAGTTTCCTCACAACGCTAATAATATATTTAATGCTATTATTAGTATTGTTAGAGAATATCATTGCGAAGGCAAAATTTGTTCATTTACTTTCGATAATGCTAGTGTTAATAAAGTAGTTGCTGAAAATTTGTATAGGGTACTACAACCTGATTTTGGTGGGTATTTGTTTCATATTCGTTGTGTATGTCATATTTTGAATTTAATTGTCCAAGATGGTTTAAAATATATAAATGATGAATTTCAAAATATTAGGAATGCACTAATATATATCACAATCTCTTTAAGTAGAAAACAAGCATTTGAGAATTATTGTGCCGAAATAGGAGTGCAAAATGCTAAAATATTTGTTAGCGACATAATCCATAGGTGGACCTCTACTTACTTGTTATTAAAGTCATGTGAATGTTTTAAACATTTAATAACTTACTTTTATAACAATAGATATGTTAGAAGTGATGACAAGGATATGTTGATTGAACGTGATTGGTCAATTCTACTTACTAAGTTGTTCCCTTGTTTTTTGGTCAGTTCTCTTTTTTCATTACACTAATCTGCGTATCGTGCGTTGCACGAATTTTGTATTTATTTTGATTTTATTAACGTAAAATTTATAGATTGTACAAAAAGTGTTTGGAAATAAAAAATATCTGTTTGATTATCATCTTATGGTCGACTGTATATTTTATGTCACGATAATTTATTTTTATTCTTATAAATAAGTATAATGAATGTTGTGATTGTATATATGTCAACGATAATTTATTTTTAATTATTTATTGTATTTTTTTGTTTAATGCAGATGAAGATATTTTTTTATCTGATATTGTAAATAAGTTGTAAATTGAATTTTGCAAAATGCTTTTCTTCAGCAACTTCGATTCGAGAGGCTATACTTGTAGTTCAAAAATAACATATGCAGTTGTAAATTGAAAGAGAATATCCACATAGACAAACATTTAAATAACAAACTCAGTTTCGCATGTAAAATAATTTGAAGTGGCACTTACTGGATGACCAACTCCCTTGTTGGTGTAAGAATTAGAACCCTAACAGCAGACTTGTTCTTCGGACGATACAACAGTCACTCCAAGGTTGGTAGGGCAAAAGAATTTTAGAAAAAAATTTAAATAAATTTTATTTGAAAGAGAAAAGAATTAAAAAGAAATTTAAATAAATTGATAAAAAAAAACCAATTATTTATAAAGTAAAATTTTTAATTTTAATTAAATAATATTTATATATTCTTCATTTAATTTTCATAACTTTATTTTATTTTTTACTTCTAAATAATTTTAAACGAATTTTTTTACTTATATAAGTAATTTTTACATATATTAGAAATAGTTTTTGTTAATATGTTTATTTAAAATTTTATTTTTTACTAAAAGTGATTTTTTTTTTACTTATAAAAGTGGTCAGCACGGAGTAATGCGGGAGGTATGGAAAGTTGCGTGTTCCATAGATTCACATGCCTCTCTTACACTATATATATAATATAATAATATAAGCAAATGAGTTGATTTGAAAAGGCGTAGCCATAGCGAATGAAAATTGAGAACGGAAAAGTACAAAATTTTTTTTGAATAATCCTCCGCGCACGGAGACCACACTATATATAATTTTTTTTAATTCTTTTCTTTTCAATTTTTTTAACCTACAAATAATTTTTTCGTTAAAACTGAAATATTAAGTTTTATATGGAAGAGAAAAGAATTAAAAAGAAAAAAATAATTGATTTTTTTAAAGAAAAAAATGCATTTGTTAACACATACGTTTAATCTCCATTTAACTATTTTCGATATTTATTTAGATCATCCGATATCTCTACGATATAGTTCTCAAAATGAGTTTCGAGAGAATGTAAAATATTTATCGATTTGACTATCATACAATCGTCGACGAATTTTTAAAGTTAGCTTGTTATCGAAAATTTCGAAATAGTAATAAAATAATTGATTTTTTTAAGAAAAACGACTTATGCGTATTTTTTAACGCATACGTTTAATGTCTGTTTAACTATTTTTTATTTTTTTAAAATATTTGTGTTATTTACATTACAAATTTTTTTCAATTTAAAATTCTTTTCTCTTAATAATTTTAAACAGAAACTTAGTTTTGATTTACATTATAGATTATTTTTCTTTTCAACTTAAAATTCTTTTTTAATTTCTTTCTTTTTAATTTTTTTACTCACAAGTAACTTTTTATTTCTTAGAAATATTTTCTATCTTATATTATTAGTATTTTTATTTTTTAATAATTTCAAATAATATTTAATTTTATAGTAATTAAATATATAATTTTTTTTTACTTTAAAATATTTTATTGCACTATAAGAAATTGCTATAACACGTAATTTCCATACCTCTTACGACTCCATGCTCAACCACTCTTATATAGATATATATAGTAAGAATATAAGAAAAAAATTACTTTTATATAAAAAAAATAAAAAATATTTTACAAAAATTTATTTTTAAGTAAAAAATTTGAAGAAAATAGAATTAAAAAGAATTTTAATTTTTGTTGTTCACATTATAAATTTTTTTCCAATTTATAATTCTTTTCTCTTAATAATTCCAAACAGAAACTTAGATTTGAATTTTTTTTGTGTAGTTTTACGTTATAAATAATAGTTTTTTCAATTTAGAATTCTTTTTAATTTTTTTCTTCAAATTTTTTATTATTAATCAGTATTTTTTAATAGTTTGAGATAAAATTTAATTTTTTAGTAATAATTTAATATATAAAATGATGAAAAAAAATATTCACTCCGTACATTGAGAAAAAAATTTCCATCATATCACATAATTTATTTTGAGCAAAATGATGCATTGAGAAAATTGTTGCGAAAAAAGAATAATTAGTAATAAAATAATTGATTTTTTTAAGAAAAAACGATATATACGCATTTTTAACACATATGTTTAATCTCCGTTTAACTATTTTTGATATTTATTTAGATCATCTGATATCTCTACGATATAGTTCTCAAAATGAGTTTTGAGAGAATGTAAAACATTTATCGATTCGACTATCATACAATCGTCGATAAATTTTTAAATTTAGCTTGTTATCGAAAATTTTGAAATAGTAATAAAATAATTGATTTTTTAAAGAAAAAATGATTTATGCGTATTTTTTAACGTATACGTTTAATATCCGTTTAACTATTTTTGATATCAATTTAGATCATTCGATGTCTCTACGATATAATTCTCAAAATGAGTTTCGAGAGAATGTAAAATATTTATCGATTCGACTATCGTACAATTGTCGATGAATTTTTAAAATTAACTTGTTATTGAAAATTTCGAAATATAGTTTGAAAATGCCTACTTTAACGTCCCATAACATTTGCTATAGTTGATCGTTTCATACACCGTTAACGACGTGCAATACTATGCCGCGAGTGCTTCAAAGCGACGTTAAGAATGTAATATTTCGACTTCGTTTGATATCCCGTAATGAGCTTGAAAATAAACACAAAAATATAAGTAAAAAAATAAAAAACATCTCTCTCTCCGCGCACGGAGCCTTTGGGCCTCCGTGCACGGAGTCCTTCCTATTATTAAATATTTTTTTCTTCGTGTACGGAGATATATTTTTTTTTTGTGTGTGTAATTTTACGTTATAATTTTTTTTCAATTTAAAATTCTCTTTAATTCTTTTCTGTTCAAATTTTTTACTTCTAAGTAATATGTTGTCAAACAATTTCTGTCGCATATTATTTCTATCTTTTTTTTTATATATAAAAGTGATTTTTTTCTTATATCCCTACTATATATATCTATGTTGGAGTAGGGGTGGAATGAAAATTGCGTGTTGCAATAAATTTGGAGGTAGTGTATAATAAAATAAAAAATATATCAAGCAAATGACGTCGTTTTTGGCCCCCAATTGAAAAAAAACACAAAACGAAAATGCTACAATAAAGATGGATCAAGACACTGTTGCTTTTTACAGTGCCTTCACAATCCTCTTTTTATATAGTAGGGAAAAGGCCCATCAAATTTGATAATTTGAAAGAAAAATACCATTTAAAGTGAAATTGACACAAATAGCACTAATCTAGGGATGGATAACTCTCGTCAGTTTCAAAAGAACATGTGTGCTTAACGTCTCAAAAATGAGAACTCGAATGCTATATTTTGTAAGAGTGTCGCTATGCAATCGGACAAGTATTTTGACGCGCGTCTATGTAACACTTCATGCTTGGTATTATAATCTTTGGTCTATGTGATTGGAAATAATGCATGTTTATTAGATTATGTGAGAATTTAATATAAAAAAATAATAAAAGATCTTGATTTGAAGGATATGTTAACTAAGTAATATTAAGCCCCTATTTTATATCATTATTTGAGAAAAAACAACATTTTTAATGATAATTTTTAAAAGAGTATATGGTCAAAACGTAGAATTTTTTTTTTAAATTTACATATAAAATATTTTATTATGTGAATGTGTGATTAAAAATTAATACTTAAAAAAAGAGTTTTCAAATAATAATTATCTCTAAAAAAGACAACAGATAAAATTATATTTTTCCTTAAAGATCAGATCATTAAACAATGAATTCATTAGTTTACCAAACGAACCACCTTTATTTTTGAAAAATGAAAAACATAAATAGAAGTAGAAAATTTACAGGCCACTTGTATTGGCACGACAGCTACAAGAACGTAATCTGGCCGCATAATACCCGCACCCACACTTTTTGCAGTCAACGTTCAACTTAAAATATTCAACACAAATCCACCGAATTGATCCCTTAAATTGAAACGTGTCAGTCAAATAAAGAAATCGCTTTTGTATGAGATCCTTTTGTTTGTCAAAGCAAACGGGTTTAGCCGGTTCCGGGTCCATTGGGGCGGGCAAATTTCATCACATTATGGTTAAACGTGCATTATGGTGGGACCTATTCTCCTCCACGTGGGCCACATCTGGTTGGTCATCTCGGGGATTGGTTGGGATTAGCTCGTGAATGTTGAGCCTATGGACTATATAGAATATAGGTGGTTCGACAGCGTGGGCCAGGCGTGGCAGTGGCTGGCTATGGATCTCAGTAGCGTGGTCGGTAGAAATAATTCCAGGGCAGTCTAATTTTATTTAATGACATTTTTATCCTCTTTCAAAAATATTATTTGATGCCCCACGCTGAATGCCATCCAAGATTAGGAGTGCTCAATAGGCCACCACGCATATTTGTTGAAACAAAATCTCCGAGAACATAGCTCAAACCTTGTTATATCGAGGCTCGAGCTATATTTCAGAAGGATATGAGAAATTATCCAATGGATTCCAATACCAAAGAGATTGAACGCTCCTATAAAACGTAACTTTATTATGCGTGTGTTTGTTTTCCATTCTTTTATCATTAAAATGAAAAATATGATCGTTATTTATTATATCAAATCATCGTATTTGAATTTTTATCTCTTGTGTGGGGCTCGTAATGACTATATTTTTCATTCTCATTTTTACATAAATGGAAAATAAATGGGACCTATATTTATATCGGGGCTAGATCACATGAGAATATGAAAAACTATCTCATGAGTTAGAATACGAAAGAGATGGAGCACAATTTGAAGCATTTTGTCTTCTAGTTGTACTTCAAGTTGGTGCAAAATGTTATATGATCAAACCCAAGAATAATCATTGTGAGACATTCTTTACATAGCTTATAAGATTGTAATCACTTAAGAATTTTGAATCATTCAATAGATAATGCTCAACTACTTCAAGTTTCACACATCGACCACTTGAATAATACATTTTCTTCATTATTCAGTAGCAAATTTCATCTTGAGGTGTTTGTTTATCATTTTTACAAGAATGAAAATGAAAAATATAATCGTTATGGACCCCGCATAAGAGATAGAAATTCAAATTTGGTAATTTTATATGATGGATAACGGTCAAATATTTTATTTTAATGAAGAAAGAATGTGAAACAAACAGAGGCTTAATCTTTGTAAACAAAAAGTATCTAGTTGAAACAGTAGAAGTGTCTTTTTCTAATTCTTCATATACTTTTGCTATACATATTGATTTGATTTTGGGATATTCAAATGTCCTTGTGTTTCATTTTAATCATTTGGAGTTTAGGCATTTAAATAATTATTAAATTGCTTGTAAAGATATTTGTTTCATTTTAAAGTGAAATTCATATGTTATTCCACCATAACAACATGCAAATTCTTATGCTAGCTATCCAAGCATAAGATTCACCATGAGGGAAAGCTTTTTACCCTTACTCAGACCCCCAATGGAACATAAGATCCAAACTTTTGACCAGTCAAGTCACTACAATTTTACTATATGACTCGATATTAATAGTAAATTACTAATTCACGCTTTTAAATTAGATTCTTAGCTCGTATATTGATACTGATTGTTAGTACAAATCCATGTCGGAGTGAAATTTCAATTGAAATTTATGCTTTTATTGTAAAGGTTTTTTCTTTACAAATATACATTGCCCAACGACCTTCTTTATATCACTCGTTGACTGTCTCAAGCTAGTCATATATCTTTGTGAGCCACACTTGACATCACACTAATGACCAGCAAAATTCAACTCAATAAAATGCATGCCTTAAAAAGACACAATCCCGTAACTTGTTATTTAGTATCAATATTCAACTTAAATATCTCATAATATAGAAATAATGAGATTGAATTCTAAGAAAGCAATAAAAAAATTCGTGAATGATAGGATGAACATGGATTTTCTCAAAGTGAACAGTACGTAAAATAGTATTTAAAGTAGCTATTACAAATACGAGAATATTTAGATGTACATATATATTGACACAAAATTAAAACTATCACGTAACCTAGGTGTAACTCCATTCATTGAACGCTACCATTATCTATTACGCCATCACTTCTGCTCTTTCACGCAAATGGAAAATGACCTAACAAAACTGCTATCCAACCAAAAAAACACTACCCAATTAATGAAAATAAAAGTAAAAAAAAATAAAATAAAAATGAAAGGGTTTTCCGGTCTTTTCGTAAAGTTATCAGTGTAGTCGGTATGGGGGGGCGTGTGAGAAGCAGAGAAATCGAGAAAGCAAAAGAAACCCACCAAAAAAAAGAGAGAAAATCGGGAAAAAAAAAAAAAAAAAAAAACTCTATTCATCCCTCCACCATTTTTCTTTTCACACACAATACACAGAAGAGAGAGAAAAATTATCACAATCTGTTTCATTTCTCTCCAGTTTCGTTTGTTTTTCTGTACATATGTATTCTCCTTAATTCGCATAATCTATCTCTGATCGATATATAAAGCTTTCTCTTTTGAGAGAAAGATTTGTTTGTTTTCCTTTTCGCAAATTAATTTTTTGTGGATACGATCGAATTTGACGATGAGGCGAGGCAGAGGACCGGTGGGGGCAGCGAGGCAAATGGCAGTGAATGACGGAGATGCTAACGGATCTGGTGGATCTAAGGAGATCAGATTTCGTGGAGTGAGAAAGAGACCATGGGGAAAATTTGCTGCAGAGATCAGAGACCCTTGGAAGAAGACTCGGGTGTGGCTAGGTACGTTTGAATCTGCTGAAGACGCGGCTAGGGCATACGACGCCGCTGCTCGAAAACTTCGGGGGCCCAAGGCTAAGACAAACTTTCCGTTACCTAACAACCAGAGCGGCGTTTTCTGTGATTTCAAGGCTCAAAATTTTAACAATCAACGGATCAATAGTCAGCCTCACGATCCGTTCATGGTGGATCCTAGATTTTACCCTCAGGACCATCAGGTAGTTGGCCCGCAGAGGCCTACCTCCAGCGGCATGAGCAGCACCGTCGAGTCGTTTAGTGGACCCAGACAGCCGGCGCCGCCGCAACTCATTCAGCCGCAAAGGAGATATCCCAGGTCGCCGCCGATGTCTCCTGATGACTGTCACAGCGACTGCGATTCTTCCTCCTCCGTTGTGGATGATGGTGAATGCGACATCGCTTCATCCTCTTGTAAAAAGCCTTTGCCTTTCGACCTCAACTTCCCGCCGCCAATGGATGCTGACATGTGCGACCTAGCTTGCACGGCCCTCCGACTCTGATATGTTCCCTGATGACTACCAAATCATTTGGAAGAAACCCACCTGGTTAAATTACTCAAAATTTTTTTTTCTTTTTCTTTTCCTTTTCAACTTTTTTGTTTTTATTTTGCGGAGAAAAACCCTAAAAAAAATGAAAAATGCTCATAGCTAGGGTAAAGCATGAGATAAAAAAGCTAAGGTGGGTTGAAGGTCAGTCTGCTATAGGGTCCTGTTGTTTGAAGAGAATCTGCTTGATTTTAGATCTATAAACTTGATGTTATGGATTATAGTGAATGTTAAGATGGATGGATATTCAGACTGCCCCTTTGTTATATTATGATTTTTGGATGATTGCCTATCTTCCACTATCCATTGACTTCTTTAAAATGTATATGAAATCTGTTATTGAGGACATGTATTGGTATATTTATTTTTTAAACTAGATGTGAGAACATCTATGATCTGTTCTATTATGTGCTCTTTCTCGATTTCTCTGGGGTTGATTTAAGATATCTAGTTCCTGATCCCTTGATGTAGAAATGAATGTTTCATCTAAGTCAATCTACAAGAAAGAAATTTTAGCTGCACTTATTCGATAATTATTGTTCCTTCTTATGTTCATTTATTTGCTTTGAATGGCATGCGATTCCTGTGGACGATGTGAGCTGCATATTCTTTACTATCACTGTAAATCTAATGTGATTAGAAAGTTGGTCATTAGTGATCAGGAGGTATTAACTTTGGTTTATCTTTCAAGTTTGCTTGAACTTTTTGCTTATCTGCATTTCTTGTTTGGATTGGCTCACTCGAAAGATTTGATGTACTGGTCTTGCTTAGGTTAGCATACATTGTTTCAGATATGCTTGGAGGTATTATAAGTTCTGAAAGCAATTTTCTTGAATTTTTGTCAAGTGCAAGTTTTTGCCTTTGTGCTTTTGTACACAACAAGAATCCTACCTTTTAGTCCAGGCCTAGGGAGCTTTACACTTTTATCTTTTTTGTTTTTACGTAGATCTAATCCAAAACTTGTGCATGAGATTATCGATTTGTTTAAAATCACTGCATGTAGCTTTAACGTGTTTCAAAGAATTCTTGTTAACAGATATGGTTAGATTTCAGTGCCTATATATTTTTACTAGCCGATTAATATGGTTAGATTTTGTCATTGATTGTCTTTAATGTGCCGTTATGGCTTTAGGACCCACATTGTGCAAGTCCCGACAAAACAGAACTGGATTTTGAATTTAATACTGTGTACTTAAGTAGCATTATCTGAATATAATCTTCAGTCTTTTTTATCGAGCATCTCTATAATTATATGCTACATATACACTCATTTGCATGCAAGGTCTTAACACTCGTTTGCTACTCATACTTGCAAAAAGTGTTTATAGTTGTTGCCTCGTTAATTGCTCAAACCATCTTGTCCTACAAAGGGGAAATCTGTTTTCTGAGTTTTCCGTCAGAATTAGCTAAGTGTATTGCAGAATTGTCACCGCCGACAAATCCATTTGTGTCTTCCTTGTGGAGATTGGTAGCATTTACCCGGGCGTTCTGTATGACCTGTTCTATTTATTATGTTCTTTCAATAGATTTGTATGTATTCTTTTTGTAATCAAAATCTCCTTCATTGTGTGAATGTATGAACTATGGCACTCGCAGCGCCATTTTATGTTTCTGAAAGTTATCATCATATATAAAGCAGATTTTCCTGTGGCAATGGAAACCGAGCAATCTCAGAGGACTGGTATTATGCTCGGTTTGTTGAATTGATCAATCACCATCTAGGGACATGGTTCAATCCGAATGTTCTGTTTGTTCTGGCCTGACCATGTTCATGACCCACACCAGTGCACTTTTTGAGTGCCAACTTATAACTCTATCTTTGGTTCTTCAAAGAGTTGTCTGTTCAGATAGAAGCATATTGCCTGAGATGTGTCACAAAATATGGCCTTTTTTCTACATATATGATGATATCGTGTGGTTTGGCAGCGATGTCTTGTAAAGGACTAAGCAAAAGAAAGGGTTTGGAAACTAGGATCATTAGGCTTAGAAAAGATAAAGAAGAGTATTTAGTGCATGTTTGATATGTAGAATTAAATCATTCTATACGATTACTTCTATTTATTTCTTAGCATTGCTGAGTGAGTGTGTGTGTTGTGTTTCTGCTACTCGGAAACGTGTATATTGTCGCGCTCGGTACAAGCCTAGGAAAATGAGTAGTGCAAAGCACAATGTTGTAACTTTCAAGACTACGCCTGGCCAACCACTTCAACTCTAATATCATTACGGACCAAATAGATTAGGTCTACCGGTCACACGTCTTTCGTTCAAAATTTGAACACAATTATGTTACAATGGTCTTAAGATATTCGTTCACATTACCAACCAATAAATACATTTTGGACTTATTCACCTAAATACGTGAGTCCTGGTCAATCGTGACCGATTATTAATACATTATGTTCAAATTTGATATTTAGGGTTGGTTTGGTAGAATTTTTATTTATACATCTGCATTTTATAGAAAAGATAAGTGAAAATGCTACTTTAATGGTGTTTGAAATTAATCAATTAAATAATTTCATTTTTCTAAAGAATAATGAATTCAACTTTCTGTAAAACTCTTCCAACTAGAAAAAAATACTTTTACAAAATTAACCAAATGATTTAAAAGTAGTTTTTGAGTCTTAGAAATTAATTTTGACTTTTTGAAAGTCATGCCAAACAAACCCTCAAGTAAATGGATTTGTAATAACATGTTTTATATGTACAAAATAGTGATGAAAATGGGGATAGATAAATAAGGGAGCGTAGGTGATGGCTAAAGGTAAATGGAGCGTCGTTCAAAAAGACATCTACCTTTGCATTTTCTCTCTCTTTTTTTTTCTTTCTTTCTTTTTTTTTTTTTTTATCTGATATAACTAAATAATTTGTCCATTGGAGATTCAAATGCTCCTAGGTAAAAGGCTGGGTACTCAACTGTTTTATTTTAAAAGTTGGAACCTAAATGCTCTGCCTTTTATAGGCTGGGGACCAGGAGTAATTTTCCCCTCAATGTATTGAAGTGTACAATTTTTGTATGACCCGACCATCCACGGCCTCATGCTCGAGGTTATCACAAGGCTGGGGACCAGGTGTAATTTTTTCCTCAATAGTATTGATGTGTACAATTTCTATATGACCCGACCATTCACAACATCATGCTCAAGGTCATGATAATTTCGAGCACTCTCCTAAGGCTAGAACATTCTCAAGTTTATGTGGTTGGGCTCGAAGTCAATAGCCCGATCTTGTCCTCCAACATTTATCCAAGCACTAAGGTCGGGCATATCCAGATCGAGCCATATGTCATGGAATACAATTCTTATCTCACACCTTCTAAAAAACACTAATCGTACTTTGACTATAATTCCCCATGACATTTATACTCATTGTTTACCTATCACATTTCAATTCAAACTCAAACTGTACACTTTCAATATAACACAAACACTTTGCATATAAAATGATAAGAGTTACATGTAGTTGGATCCTTTTATAACTCTACCACTAACATTTATAAATACACGATCAAAGTCCATTGTTGAGGTATGCTTTTACATTCAATTCATAGCTTTACGCGTATATCTTTCCCGTCTCGCTAATTTAAGTATCGGAGGGGTGACGACGTCATATCTCGTTGCCTTTGTTTTAGGTACCGGAAAAACTCGTTTGTGCTCATCTTCAGTCATCAAGTTTGGGAACCAGCAGGTACGATTTTTGGTAGCGTCAAGTACGTTTTACGATTTTACAGTTAATTAAATGAGTGGTCACTCAACTTTACCCATGATTATAGCTTGCTCATCGAAAATTAAACGGTTACTCAATGCTCACTAAAATATTCATTAAATTACTCATGAATCACCATAGTCAATTTCATTTGTACATATGGACAAATATTTATACGTGGCATATAAAAAAATGGTGTGACATACCGAATCATCACTATGTCATCAGAAATTTGTATTTTATAAATACAATTAAAAAAAAAATTGAAATTGAAATTTCCTCCAAATAACCTTCCTGTTTGGAACTGAGAAGTTTAAAACAGAAAATTCTGATGACATTAAGCAAAAAGGTTATGCTATTTTGGCCTCTTAAAGTCTTAGAGATCTTTCTCCTCCAAATCTGCATAATGGGGATGGATGCCTGCCGTTACACTTTGGTTGTGACATATCTAAAAACCTATAAGTGCACCCAACAGTTGCGCTCAAAAATACAATAGGGTTACGTGAGGGACGTTTGGATGTGTGAGATGCAAATGTGTTCATTCAAAGATAAAAATTAGCTGGCAATGTACGTGGACGTTAGACTGAGCAAAGCAAAATAAAGCTATAGCTGCAAGAAACATGAGCTTAATGTAAGCCTAATCACAACCATTTAATTAAAAAGCATTTATATAGGAAAAAATACAAGTAAATATTAAAAGCCCGTTTGAGCCACATTATTTGTAGAATGAGAATGAAAAATAGAACCGTTATGAGCCCCACACAAGAGATAGAAATTCAAAAATAATGGCTTGATGTGATGGATAACGGTCATATTTTTCATTTTAATGAGGTAAAAATGGGCTCAAACAGGGCCTTACATTGAATATAAAACTAATAATACAAAGCAAAATATAGCATTTCAATAATTATTTGTTTTTTTATACAAGTCGAACACTTGATTTATGCTTGAAAGCACCTTCACAACATCCAAAAACTCATATTTTCAAAAAGAAAAAAGAAAAAAGGGCATGACCTAAACCACTATCATCTTCAAGAAATTCCGTACGAACAAATCTGTTAAACAAAAAACAAAAAATACCTCAAGCAATACTATTTGTAATTGAAATGTAGCAAATCATATAAAAATACTCATTCTCCCATTGCTAGAAGGAAAATCATTAATTAATCTTTTGTAATCAATATTTTCTAGCAATCATGTTCCATGGATATTAAAACTAGCACATTCGATCTGTCTCGTGACATGTTTTACTGCAAGTAAGATAAAAATTGTTTATGCAAATTTACAAGCAATTGTTTATGCAAATTCACAAAAGTGAGTCAAATAAGATTTTCCAGCTAAAAAAAAAAACCTACAATTTAGCATTTTACTAGTTTTTTTTTTGACAAATACAAAATTATAAATTTATATGTAAACATGACTATAATATCAATAGATTATAGATGTATTTTGAAATAGTTTATTCAGAGAATGTATGATTAAAAAATAAACCCTCTATTTGACAATCATTATTTGAGAAAAACAGAGTTTTGAATTGTGGATTTTTTAGGAGAATATGTGGTTAAAAAATTGGAAAAAATCTTGGATTTACGTACAGAATATTTTATTGTGTAAATATATGATCGAAAATAAATTTGTAGAAAAAAAAATGTTTTTAAATAATGGTTGTCAAACAGGGTAATAATTTTTTTTTTTAATT